TACCTAAACCCTAATTGAAAGATTCTGAATCTTCATCTCTGTCTAAGATTTGGGTCTCTTCTTGGTTCTCATCGATTCTCTCTCTCTCTCCATTTCACTAACCCAATCGTAAGATTCAGCCCTGAATCTTCGACTCTTAATTTCTCTATCTCGATTTGGCTCTGTTTATTTTTTTCAACAATTCTTTCTTTCGATTTCATTCATCCATGTCTGGGAAAACTCAGGGTCCCAAAGCTCGTGGTGGTAGATCTGGCGGTCGTGGCAAATCAACCGGCAGAGTCGGTGGAGCCAACAACAGAGAGGTTATGCCCTTAGGCGGAGGTGTTCCAGAGGGTCAACAACACGAGGATCTTGTTCAGCAAGCCCATCAACATGCTCATCAAGTTCAGATTCCGGACAATGAGCAAGATGAAGAGGATGAACAAATGTTTCGTCTTCCCGATGATCTATTGGCTCTTGCTGAGTGAGTAGCCCCAACGTGAAGACCACTTGGTGAGTTTGCTCGACTATTTATATTTACTGATAGAAAGATTGGTGGTTTTTTGACGAATGGTCATACTCCATCGCTATGTAAGTGTGGTCTTCTTTACGTACAAAATCTGAACGATTTCTTTCATTCCTTTTTCAGTTTCTGTATCATGAACATTGATCTTTTAATGTCACTGTTTTTGAGCAAAATAATCTTTGGGCTTAACTGCAGAACCTTTGAAACAAGCAGAGGCTAACTCAACCCAAGAGGACCAATGAGCAATCAAATTGGCTTGGGAAACGATTCAACATGAGAGAATTTAATGTTTATTCTTCACCTTAATTTCACTTTCTTAATCCTCTTGATTGTTGTATATAACTTTCGGATTCTAAACTTTTATGCAGTATAACTCAGAACATTCAACTCAACGGACACTCACCATTGAAGAAAAAAATGATATCTTTCTTAAGGTAATTTCCTCTCTATTCTGCTTCAGGTTAGCTTCAATACACCTGTACGCTCAATCTAGTTTTATCACTAGCTTCACAAGCATGATGTTTTTTCATGGAACAATAACTTCTTCTATAGCGTGGTGGTCTAGGAATCGCAAAGAACGTAGCCGGTTAGAAATCCTTCTTGACAACCAAACAAGAGATGGTAATTAATCTATACTTCCTCCATACTTATAAACTGCAGAGGTAGTGTTAGCATATTTGCTTACCATTATGTACACATAATTTCGTATGCTTACAGGAGGAGGAATATGGTCGTCCAATATCTCTAAATATGATCCAGATGGCCCAAACAATTCAGAGAATCCTTCTGAACGTTCTACTCAACGGACACTAACCATCGATGAAGAGAATAAGATATTCCTCAAGGTATTAATTAAGTGTTGTGTTATCTGAACTTTGCATTCTTCTGTTTTGGTATTCATCAACTAGTCCAGTCTAAGCTTATGGTTCATCTTTTAGCTTCTTGTTGTGAATTTATCTGCTGAATCATTCATTCTGATATACATATTGGTTTTAGAGTATTTGATAACTCTGTCTATGCTTTTGGATGTGGTTTTGAATCATTGTGTCCTGTTGAATCACTATGCAGAATTCTGATATATATAGTCTTGTAGTGTGGTTTTGTCTGTGGTTTTGCTTCATGTAATGGTATAAATTTGGCGAACTTACATGTATCTATTTTTGATCTTGTAGTGTACAAGAACTGATAACAAGGGGAACCCTTTTGGACTTGGGGAGCTACCTCTGGTACTCGGCAAAAGAAAGAGGAAAGAGAGCTACAAAAGCACTTCTACGGATGCACTTACAGTGATCCAGCAAAAGCTTGATGCGGCTGAAGAGAAAATAGCTGCACAAGAAAAGGAGAATGCGAGATGGGATCAGGAACACCGGGCAGCTCAAGCTCAGATCTCTAAAATGGCAAAGCTTATTCGGTACACGAAGAACTCTGATCTCGACTGTGCAGCATGCATGAGAGAACAAGCTCCCGCATGCAACTCTCCAACTACTGATCCAAGCTTGGCACAAGGCACATCACCAGTCACCGCAGCAGGCACCACAAAACCTACTGGACCAGTCACCACACCTAACACCCAAACCTAGCCATGAACTGTTTACATTTGTGCTTTAAAAACTTGGGTTCTTTTGCTGGAAAACCTTGTTTTTTTTTTGTTGGAACATATTTATGTTTATGTTCAACTACTTTTGTACTTTCTGTTTTCTAATTAGTATTTTGAAACACTATAATCTTTCATTTTTACGTTTTAAATATAACAAAACATATAAAATACAATATCTATATGTACAAATGCATGACCAGTTATGGTAAAAAGGTCACAAAATAGTTGCTAATTTGTGAGTGATTTGTGACCGATTAGTAACGACAACGTTTGAAGAAACAAAATTTAAGTGACCTTTTACAGACTATTTTGCGACTACCTACATTTTTTTTAATAGTCACAAAAGCGTCGCATACGTGCGACCAACAAACTCGTCCCAAATTAGTTACTAATGAACGACCCCAGAAAACAGTCGTATTTTAGTCGCTAATATACGACTACATATTTTCGTCTCTCATTGGTCGCAAATTTACGACGCTTATAAAGAGTCACAAAATGGTTTCTAATATGCGACTCTTTTGCGACCATATTAATTTGCGACGGTTTTTTAGCGACCAATTTTTATATTCCCTAAGTGGTCGCAAATCACGTTTTTGTGACCATATTGTGACTCTTTTTGGAGTCACTAATGGTCTGTTTTCTTGTAGTGT